ATAGCATAAATACACATATAAATAAATAAATAAATATATAAATATATAAATAAATAATTATATATAAACACTATATATATAAATATATATATGAGAGTATATTTCGGTGGAACAATCGAGATTCGACGGTCCTCGTACGATTGATGAGAATAACGGGCGTTATGGATAGTGATTTCGTCCACGGACCAACCCGGCCAGATCTCACGGATAACGGTGACACTTAACACGCTCACAATCCATACATATACATACATACATCCTTATATACGTACACACGCAGAGACAGACCGAGAAAAAAGAATGGGAGTGAAAGAAAGAGAGAGAGAGAGAGAGAGAGAGAGAGAGAGAGAGAATGAAAGTGAGAGCGAGAGAGAAAAACGTTATACGAATCGATATGCGCGGATGCGACTTTCACGGATGCAGGCGTAAATAGAACTAATCGACTGCATTATGCGCGCGCATTAAAAACATTTTTGGTACTATACGGCACTTGTATGACGCGTCTCTCTTTATACGTAAACCCGTACTTCTTATGGATAAAAAAAAAAGATGAAAAAAAAAATATGACACAATAGCCCGTTGTCGCGCGCTGAGATACCCTCACGAGGCGTTTACATTATATACGCACCGTCACCGGCTTTCCTCGCTATCGTCGATCGTTGATCGAAGATTAAGATGAAGATCGAGATGGATTTTATTAAACGGCTCATCGTTGTTCATCGACACTTTCGCGACCGCTCGCATATTTTTAGATGAAAATTACGTCGTTTGGTGCCGGACCGATTAAGAAGTATTCGTACGCCTTCGTGTTGTTGCTAAGTATAAAATTATGTTGCTAAGTGGCAAGCTGGAATATAAAAAAGGTATTCGTACGCCATTACTTTTTTGCTATAAATAACATTACGTCGTTGAGGAGCAGGCTGAAATAATAAAAATATTTGTATACGCTACATTGTACTTTTATTATAAGTATCTTTAACTCTCGTTGTATGTAATGCAATATTAAATCCTTTAAAAAGTTGTATGGATGGTAATATCGATTTAAAGAATAATATGAGATACGTATGGAATTATAGCATTTTTTTAATTTGAAAGTTACTTATAGCGATGACGTGCGAATACTAGTTGTTTCATTCTATAATGAATTTCTTTAAAATAAACTATATATAAATATTGCAGCTACTTATGTAAACCCTAAACGGTATAAGCGGGGTCTGACAGACCGTTTTTAATTACCAGACGTTATAGAAATTTTATAACGCTCTATTATTATTATTATTATTATTTGTATTTATAAAGTTTAATATAAATGAATAAAATCTAATTTCCACACGTAAATATTTCGGACATGTTTTATTTTTATATAGATACATAATTATGCATATAATTACTATTTATGCAACATCTCCTTTGTATGTCGACCCCTTTATATTACGTAAGTAAAATAATTTATACTGTTTAGGGTCTCTAACGGAAATATTATTTATTTATAACTCATTATCATATTCTTCTCAAAAACTAAAAACACGAAATAATGCTAAATAATGCTCGAAGTTATAAAGATTTTTTCACAGGCGAACATTTAATTTGTATATTTATATCGAGTAGCATAATTTTACATTAAAAAGCATAATATAAATACAATTGCTAATTTTAATAAGTTAAATATATCGACATTAAAGTAATATTAATTTACAGTAAAAATTAGTGGTCGCGAAAGTGTTAAGAGTGTATTGTTATTAGCCTTACATGTATATACATATATAGAGTTCGATTTTTATTGCGTATTTATATATTTTTATTCTTTCGATATTAGATAACATGAGTATTAATTCCTCGCGTTGAGACAATTATTCAATCTTAAATGACAACTTAAATGACAATTTATACAGTGACTTCATAACCGTTAAATGGATTTTTAATAATTTGTTAATGTTAAAGCGAATTTTACATACAAGCATCTGATAATATTTAATATGATAATATTTATGATAATATGATATTAGAATTGCTCATCAATACGATAACTTAATAGAACATCGATATTTCATCCATCTGTTAAACGTTACAAACAGTAGAGAATGCTAATTTTTAAGATTTAACTGTTTAATGCTTAAAACATATATCTTGATTTTATCAGATTTTGATAATTTTTCCTTTTTAAAATTTTTTGAATTTCTAGATCAATTTAATCCTTAAATTAAGTAGTTGAGTTTCTTGAATATATTTTAATCTTGAGTACTTTATAATCTTTCAATTTTTGTTATATATCTATTTCTTATATTTTCAAATTGTCTAAAAAATTGTTAAATTTTAAAATCATTACCAGAGCAGCAAAGAATGAATAAATAAATTGCTTTTGCTTTCAATTGGCTGATAATTTTATCATACTTAAGATTTAAAATTATCGTAAAACTTTTAACTAATACGAGTGAGCATGATTGTTTTTTTATTCTCTTCGAGAATATCTATTTGTTACAAAAATAAAATATTTTAAAATAGTTTTAAGATAAAATAAAACCAGAATTGCGTAATTTTAATTATACGATAAGTAGTCGAGTAAGAAATAACTTTCGGATGCATATTCTAGGTCAATTTTATTCCATATATAAATTTTTGTTTACTGTCTAAAAAATGTGACAAATATATGTATATATACATCTGTATATTTACATCTTTACATTTTCGCGTCCATAATTGCTAAAATGAATAACATTGATTGAAAATTGTATGAAAAAATACTATTTTTCTAAATTTTTCATTGAAGATAAAGCTATCTAGACATCATAAAAAAAGACAGCTTTATTTATTTACATCTTTTTTTAGACTTTTTTATTTAATGAATTAATGATAATACTTAAAAATAAGAAATATAAATTCATTCTTTTATCAAATATTAAGCTTACTTTGGAAAATCAGTAACTCTATATTAAATATATTTACCCTATTCATACAAATCTATTTTGTTTTTTTTTTAAATACAGAATTATAGTTTGACTTATACAACTTTATATCAGATACCACAAAATTAATCGTAAACGTTCTTAACGAATCAATCTCACTATTGTCGAAATTAATTAGTAAAAAAGATTAATTATTTCTTTATTACGAGATTGGAATAAGCTCGTTTACGTAAACTCCATGCAGACAAAAGTTTCAATATGCATCCGAAAGAACCGAACGCAATCGAGAAGGGATCGACGAGAGCGACGGCAAATCCGTCACGGTGCGCCGACTGACACGCTTTCGGACGGTTGCATATACTTATAGCGAAAAATTAAGAGAAATGCATATTATTCTGCCGATTAACGAGTAAGTGCGTAGGATTCGTTTAATTGTAGATCGAACACGTACACAGTCACGTTACGCGCGAGTGCAAAATGCATACCATCTACGACCCTTCTTCGCTCACATCTCTATCCCCTTTACTTGAGAGCAACACGCATACACATTCACAGAAACAGACACATATGCAAACACACACACACACACACACACACACACACACACACACACACACACACACACACACACAAGACACATAATACACACATATTATACACACACGCGTACAATAAGGCGCAACACGTACACGCGCACGCACGTTGCAATTAGACGTTATTATCGCAATTTGGAGTTAAATTTTATAATATATAATATATAAAAAATATATATAATAAATATATATATATAAAAGTTGACGGATAATATAGAGTTATGTTAAATATCTAAACGAAGGTATTCATGTGTTTCTCATGTGTGAATACATTATTCCTTTTGTTGCGCAATCACAACCGCGAAATTTCCTTTTTCTCTCGTATCCCTAAAGTATAGCTTAAATGAATACAAACGATATTTGCACATTATAACGTTCTCATTGTAGGGATCCTTTAATTTTTATTATATTATAACAATAAACTATTTTACTCATGTACATCTTAATAAATATAAATCAAGATTTTAACAGGATGTGATTAACGTATTAAAATCATATATTATATATTTAATCTTATAAATATTTCAAATTTATTTTTAATTAAGATTTATTTATGATAGCGTTATAATATTGCTCAAGTACTTTTTTTGATTTTATATTATACCAGTTAATAAATAAATTTTAGACATAATTTTTATTGTAAAGTTTAATAACTGCCTTTTTCGTGTTCAATATTTAAGAAATATAGAATATTCGATGACTTTAAAACATTTATTTGTTATCTTTAATTAAAAATAATTTAAAAAGAATTTTACATCTTTTTTATTGTTATCAGAATTAAAATATTATAGTATTAACAAATTATTTTTACTTTATCTAGCAGCTGTTACCTATAATATTGGTATGTATATGAACATTTATAGTTTTATTCTTTTAACAATTTATAAGACATAATAACAATTTATAATTATTATCATTTGATTTGACAGCGGTACTATTTTTTAATAATTTAAAAATAAATTTAAGTATAACAATAACACAGAGACAATAACAACTGCGAGATTTGGTCCACTGGGATGTAAGAGTGATTTCCGACATAACTTTTTGCGCTGCGAATCCGAATCTGGCGATAGAATGTCTAGCATGTCAGGATTTTGAAATATTCCAACCTAAATATGCAAAAAAGGCTTTCTTGAGATCTTCAGATTACGATAATTTTGAAACGTGAGGATATCCATTAATTTGATCAATAAATTCGGATTCAACGCAAAAAATTACGTCGGAAACCATTTCTACATCTCAATAGACTTTCCAAAGTCTCATTTTCGCAAGCCTGTGTAGTAATAATTTAAGTATAAATTTAGTTAACTTACATATTATATATTATCAAAAAGGAGCAAATTTCTCCAATCTAAAAAAAATACAAAATATGTATAATCTATATTTAAATATTATTCTCATATGTTTCATTCTCATTAAATTTAATTCAACATATTGAATTTTCTAATTTATAAACAATTTTATAAAAATTCTTTTAATACAGTTCTTTCAAAAGCATATTTTCAAAGGAAATTTAAAAATTTTTTGTACGATACTATCGAGAGAAAATGGCGAAGTTTTCGATAAATCGATACCTACAGTATTCTGCAGCAATCTGCTCTCTGTCTGTAGTAAGGAACTGTCATCGATTAAATGGACGGGAAAATGAGTTCTAACAATTCTTCTACTTATCGCCGCGCCAAGTAAGTTTAGTAATGATCCAAATATAACATTATATAATTTTCTTATTATAATTTTAATATTAAATAAAGATTGTTTTATGTTATAATGCCAAAGTTATGTATTTTGAGGTTAGATTGATAAGGTTAAGTCTATCTCTAATTCTGATTGTACATATTTACAATAATATTATATAAATCTATCTAAGTTATAACCAATGTTTATGTGATAAAATTTAATATCTTTTAATATATCCATGAATGCCTTGATTTATAATAATTAACTAAAGAGTAGAAAATAATTATTAGATGTTCCCATGATATCTTTTTGAATAAATTGTATATTATGTTTATAATACTATTTGTATAGCTTAAAAATTGCACCTGGTGCAGTAGTGTGCGAGGAGAGTATTCTAAAAGGAGATATTTCCATTGGTGCAAAAACCATAATCCATCCTAGAGCATGTATTCTAGCAGAGGCTGGTCCTATCATTATAGGAGAAGGCAATATAATTGAAGAGATGGCAACTATAACCAACAGGCAAGCTTAATATACTTATCATTTGCAATATATGCAGTGACATATTATTTATTAAGTTAACATCACTCTACAGATTGCCACCTGATGCTTCGGAACCTGTAACTGTACCAGTGCAAATAATAGGAAACTATAATGTATTTGAAACTGATTGTGTTTGTGAATCATATAAAGTTGGCGACAACAACATCTTAGAAGCAAAAGGTACATAGCAATTTTCAATATATGTTAACAATGTAATTGTAATGTGTATTAAATTGCACATGTAAGATTTATTTTATGTCAAATTAGGAAATAAGAATCGTTAAAAATAATGCTATTATTAATTATTTATAAATCTGTTTACTTATTATATATAAATATCATTTTGTTAAAAGCTCAAGTTAGTCGAGAAATTGAATTAACTAACGGATGTGTTATTGGAGCTGCATGTTCTTTGACAGAACAAGAAACAATACCAGAAAATACAATAGTATATGGAAGCCAATGTCAACGTAGAGAAATGAATGACAAAATATATGTAATTATTATATGTTATTACTTTTATGCTGTTATTTCAAAATTCTAAATATGATATCTCTACTTTATTCTAATTTATTTCAGCCTCAAATTGGACAGTTGGATTTTCTACAGAAAGTACTCCCGAATTATCACCACTTTCGCAAATCAAATGTAAAATCAAAACCTGGAGGACCTATGTGAATAATACATACTGACATTATTCTTGTAGTAATAATAAGGTATATTTAATTTTTATACTAATTGTATCATTTATATTTATTAAAAAAATTGTGTTTGCAATTATTCAGCAAGATATATATATATACATTTATTTAAATTACATATAATAAAATCTTTTTATATTGTATTGGAACATGTTAATTTGAACATGAACATGTTAATTAATTACGGAGAAAATTATTGTAACAGATGCATACATGATCAATTAATTTAACAAATTGCTAATTTATTTTTAATATGAAAATAAAAGAAATAAAAAATTAATAGACGAAAGTATTGTTCCAAGTTTACTTTCTTTTCATAAATTATACATTTTAATGTTTATTATACATACAAAATTATTAATGCTATTATATATATACTTATTTATTGTGGAATATTTATAATCTCCATGCAATTGAAAAATCGAAAGCAGTTTAGTGGTGAACTCCATTTCAATATGTAAAAATAAGAATAAATAAGAGTTGTATGTATGTATACATTTCATTTAAATTGAACGAAATAGCGCAAGTCAAAGTTTATTTTTATGTTTTAATCTTAAAAAGTAAATCTAAATAACAAATAATAAGACTACATTTCTCTCCCTGTCAATCTTTTCCTCATTTTTGTTTTTTTTATAAGTCCTAATTGTTTTGACTAGAATTAAAAATATTTAAATTTTGAAATAGCTTAGGAATCTTTTGATAATAACTGTTTTTAGATTAAATATACTTTTAAATTAAAACCAAAATAGCACAGACTAACATTTATTATTAAAATAAGTTATAAAATAGGGATCTTCAATATATGATTTTGTACTTATAAAAGATTTCGTTGGAATCATAATTCTGACCGCAATTAAATATTTACCTTGAAGAGCTTTTTGACTTTAAGTTACACCAGAAATTATATTAAATTAAAATTCTTCATGTTTTATTTTAAAAAGTTTTAAATTAAAAATATTTTATTGTTATAATTTTTTTTAAATTGTATTTTATATATCAATAAGCAATATATTTTTTAATTCTAAACCCATGAGTTTTGTCCGAAATATATTCTTTGCGTTATACAGGAATTACATTGCATCATAACATACCTAATTATTAAAGTTAACAAATATTGTTAGATATTAATAACAATTGAATTTGATTTGATTGAAGTTTTTCGATTTCCCATTATGAAAAAAAAGATTGATTTATCAAAAAAAAAAAAAAATGGAAGGAGCCTTTGTCACTTTCTCAACGAGCGGAAATACGAATAGAAATATTAGCCACTCTGTCTCTTAACCAACTCTCCGGAGAATTTAACGGCGTAATGCTAAACGCTACATCTATGAATATGAATTAGCGTCTCGTCGAGGGGGTTGGTTGCGAACCATTTACCGCTTCCGTCAGCTTAGCGAAGCGCGCCAGTGATTATCAACCCTCCTTCATATTTGAATTTATACAGGAAAATAATACATTTTGTATCATGACTCGCAATAAATAATCAATATGAAATTATGTTTTCATAAATAATCTATTCTTTTAATATATGTACATGAAATATAAATCTTTGAATAATCTTTCAACTTTTTATCTATATACTATCAAAATCTAAAAAAAAAAAACAAAAATTTTATGATTTATGTAAATGTTATTCCACAATATAATAAATTATTTAAGACAAACATTAGCTTTTAACTAAAAAGTATCACGGTTGAAACATTTATAAAAGATTTGTATATTACTTTTACTAACAACGAATTCATCAGATACTGAATTTAAGTATTTCTATGTAATAAAAGTCACAACCGCACCCTTACTTTAATGATCGGCCGCGGCAACCCCCTGTGACGTAACTCTTGTCGCGAAAGTGGTGACTCGAGAGAGCTGTCATATTTTGACATCCGCAGCGGACGTCGGAGAAAAGAGAGAAAGGGTGCGAGAAAGAGACATGAAGGGAATGAGAAGAAAAAGATTATTTTTCCGAGGGGGTTGAATCCGCAGTACAGAAAATCACGAAGGAGAAACTAACAAGGAGAGAAGGCTCCCACCGCTTTTCTGACGAAATTACGTAATTTCTTCTTGTTGGCTCATTTCATTCGCGACGGCCATTTCTTTTTGTGGTTGATTTATTTAATAATTTGGGAAAAAAAATTATAATTGAACTGATGAATAAAAATATTCACATATAATTTTTAAAAACATAATAACAGAACATAGAAAAGTTTTAAAAATATATATCGTTATTATTTCTTATGGCATACATTAAAAATGATTGAATATATTTTTTTATTTTATTTATGATTAATTTCTTTTTAACATCACCGATTAATTCAATAATCAATACAAAGATAAAAGCTTTCGATAATTAAAAAGTAAAAGTTAATAAAGAAGTTAACACAGAAGATAATAATTGTTACATTTTAATTGGAAGAATAAAGAGACAAAATGTTTTTTATTTTTGCACAATTATGCGAACGCTTACCAGCGTGAATGAATGAAAATTAAATATAAATTACATAAGACAGATGAAACAGAGTCGCGTCAAAACGTTCTCGGGAAGTAGCCCGTACATACATCGCTTTTAACTCGAAGTTTCAACGGGGGCCGAGGTTTGAGTACCGAATTAGGCGTGCCGTCAAAAGTCGCTCGAGCGATTGTCATGATCGCGAGCGGTGCGTGGAAACGATAATAATCGACGGACAGCCCCTGGAGTGTGTTTTGATTTCAAACACCACGGTCGTCGGCTGCTGCTATCACACACGCGCATAGAATATCTGTACAACTAGACGGGACAAGGTAGATAGAGAGGCTCTATTTGGAGGCTGCAGGAAGGAAAAGAAGGCGAGATCAACCCCCTCGATCCCTCCCGACGTTCCAGTCGCAAATTGACGTCCGCAGACACGAACCCCGCTCGTCCAATGCCAAACGAGAGTGACGAGCGTTGCAAATCCACGACTCGCTTAACATTTCCATTGTGAGCGCCGTCCCCGGGGTTCGAGTGGCGGAAAGAACGGGGGGATGCTTTAGGGGAGAGAAACGTATCGAGCGCACGAAAACCTCGATGTTATCGAGGATTATAATAATTGCGAATTAATGTCGGTAATCGGAGGAGTTGACCGATCGACATCGCGTTAAGCATATAAAGTATTTAAATCCTTTATTGCTGTACACAGAATTTACGCGTGCAATCAAGAAAAAAATTTTTTATTGAATTATTAATGTATATAATTGAATTAATCGATATTTTGATTTTGAATATTTGTATGGATAATTCACAGATAAATATGTTATTACTTAAAAAAAGATCAAAACTTTTGGCAAAAGATTACTTTACTGACTATAATTTGAAATTTTTTCTTATGGCAATTAAATAAACTAATAGACAAATGTGATCCATTTCAATCAACTTGTAATCTGCTTCTTTCGAGAAAAGCAACGAAAAAGGAGATAAAGACACGTAATCAAGAAATATGCAGTCTCCATCGGCGTCGACAAAACTTTTCTGAAGAGATGTGTGTGAAAGTTTAATAGAAATTTAGTTTTATCTTTGTCTTAACAATTTTATTAAAAAATAATGGTTTTATTTTTTAGACGAAAAGAAACGTTTAAAAAAAATTTATTTCAAATATTAAAACATAAATTTAATAATAAACTTTGAATTGCTACAAGTCTAAATGTGCTTAGAAAAATATTGTAAAATATTAAACAAATCATCAAATCGGTTTATACTACAGTTTACTGCAACAGAATACAAAGAAACCAAAGGAAACACGAAAATATAATTTCATAAAAATAAATGGAAGTTTCAAAAATCAATTGTGCACATTTCTTCTTGACATACAATATATTAATA